AGACACAGTGCAATACAGAGAGGATTGTATGCATGTGTAGACACGAGGAACTTTGTAGAAGTTCAGCTCTCTGTATTGGTTAGTCTTTTTTGGCTTATAAATAACTGTTGAAGAAAAATCAAACTCTAAATGATTGTCAAGATCAGTCTAGCTTATAAAATCAGACACAGAATACAGCTGCAGCAACTGTTCCACAATGGGTTTATGAAAGGGTTTATACACACAAGCTTGTTTTAAATAGAAAATGAGTATTTTAATGGATTTGATGGGCTATGCAAAGGAAAAAAGCAAAATGAAATATGATGGAGACACAAATGAGATTGGAACAAAATTTGGTAGAATTGGAGTAATGTTCAAGGCAGTAGTGCTTAGCTGCTTAGTACGTAAGTGTGGGATACACAGGCTGAGAAGCCACCTGCTGTGCTAATGGGCAATTCATCATGAGTGCGTGAGCTGCACCAGACTTCTATTGCCTGACTGAAAATGAAATGTATTTATTTCATATGTGTTTATTTGGGAGTTAGTTCAGGTGTTTGTAGTACCCTGGGGTCAATGTCACGTCTGTGCAAGACTGGAGACAAGTGGTCCCTGCAGACATCTCAGTGGTGCAGGAGACATTACACGAGGATCACACATGTTCTCTGTACAAATATTCATATTAGTCCTGTGTGTTTCATTTAGTAGATGATTCCTGATTCAGTGTTTCTGTTCTTATTTTGATTAAAGGTCGGGGCCTTCCATGTATTTGTGATTTAGCTTCCCATTTAGACTTCTAGATAGCTAATTCTGTGTTTGACTGTGTGTGGAAGATGCTTTTTAATATTTCTAGGAGATATGTCTTTAAGAAGGAAATCTTTAGGTAAGTTTTTTTTTAGAAAATGTTTAGAGGTAGTATTTTATAATGGAAAAAAATTTATAGGCCTACACAACAATTATGTGTTGAATAAGCATCTATTAGATTTTAGTGTGGACATACACTTATGGTAATGGTAAAATTCACAAATAATTTCAGGTCCTAAATTTGTCTCAAAGACTGTGAGAAGTGCAGAAGGTGTTAATGCTTTGTTGTATTTGCAATCAGTTAAAAAGCAGAACGACTGCTCCATCTACTGGTGTCTAAACACCCCAGCCAGAGCTGCTCTGTTAAATGTCTAATGTGCCCTGGCACAGCTCTGTGAGTAACTCTCTGCAGAAGGAGAAATTAGATGTACTGGGATAATTCTTCAGCTAATAGTCAGCCAATAGATTTCTCTAAAGACACTGGGTAGCATTTAGATTATTTTTACCCATTTCAAACACTTGTACTTTCCTTTTTCTACCTTTACTAGCTGGAAGTTGAAAGTTATTTGTTTTGGTAAGATACAACTCAGAAAGTACAGAGCATGTTTTAAAATTCTTATCCTGTTCATTTACGTATTTTGTATAATACTGTGTGTTTGGATTGTTTCTCCTAAGATCTTTTGTGTGGGAAGAAATGTAACAAATCTGCCCTCTGTGTTTTCTCTTGTAATGAAGTACATGACTTCAGTAAATTTTTTGAGATTAATCAGAAAATTATTTTTTCTTTTTTCTATCATTTCTGTAATATCTAGGTGCAGAGCAATGTGAAAAGAAACTACATCTGATTAACTATGAAAATTGCTAAGAATAGGGAAAAAGTCTTGTTCACATTCTGCCTCACACTTTGCATGTTTCTTATTTTCATTGGTCTTAACATGGAAGTGTGGAATTTTGGAGTTGTAGCCAAATATTTGAGGAAAAGCAGATCATGGAATAATCCACTATTATTCTGACTGCAACTAAGTGTTTTAAAGATAGGTTACTTAGTTTTTTTTTCCTCATAATACCATACTTAGTATTGTATTATACCACATGAAAAAATGCACATCAAAAATCTGTCCCATAAAAAGCAGAAATGACCTTTCTACTGTAGTAGTCAAGTAAGCACTTGAGTTTCAGCAATATTTGGGTTTTAGAAATAATAAAATAATTTAGGAAGTAATAGTTTGTGTATTTATTAAGTTACTTTGAGCAAAAAATTAACATGTTAAGAATGAATCCAAATGCACTTTTCTTTCCCAATATAAGCATAATTTGGAATTTTAAAAGATTCTGGGGGAGAAAAAAGGAACAACAATTGCAAAGTGAAGGGAGAAAACAGTGTGTAATGTTATTTCTGGCTAGTTGGATTGGTAGTGACTCAAGTTGTATCATGTAGTTGCGTTCTGATCTCTATATTAAACATCATTCAGACTATATTTTGATTCAGATGATGGTTGTGCAAAGTAAGTTTTATTTTTAAGCAAGGATGCTGATATAATGGAAAGCCATCCTAGACCTGCCTGTCTTGTTTTTGTATATCCTTCTTGTTTGCTTGACTGTTCTAACTGTTCTAACAAGGCTGTTGTTTCTTGAAGGTCAAAGAAGCTTTGTGGTAGGCCCTAGAATTAACGTGCATGATCAGAATAGCTGTGATTGTTGTAGGAAAAGTCCAGGTTAGTTGACAGATTAGACTGCAAGGGCAAAAGCTATTTGTCATTCAAAGATATTTCTCTACTCTTTTCTTTTCCCTTTAATTTTGCTTTTGAAGAACTTTGTCAGTAGAGCTAAGAATATTGGATGTAGATATTTAGCTGCTTGGTATAGAACAAACATTTCTGTGTAGAGAATAACAATGTAGCTGAACTGAATTTCACTCTTTAAGATTTACTGCTATAAAATAGTAAACACAATTAAGGTAAATGTGAAGACTGAAAGGGAGCAACACCTCTTTAATTTAGTTAATAATAGAAAACAGATGGCAGTTTATAAGCCTCCCATGTAAAGGAAAGAAGTCTTTTAACTGTTTTTGTATATCAATGTATATTCTTTTCTATATTGCAAATAGAATAGTCATTTTGACTCAATGCTGAACTTTGGTTAACATTGTCCCACATAGGCAATTAAGCATTCCTGTATACATGGCTGTGTTTGTTTTCAGAAATGTTTTATGATAGCCATTGTTTCCTTAGAAAGAATGGTAAATGTTTTAATGAGCTTATAGTTGATTATAATGAGCTTATACCTTATTGTAATGAGCTTATTTAATGCGTGAGGATTTCTGCTGCCTGGATGATAGAAGTGTTGACAGCCTGCGTGTGCTCTGCCTTCAAGAGGCAGGGAAGAATGAATGAGCAAATACCATTTGTTATCTGCTGTTAGAGGAAAGGAATTCCATTAACAACTGCTATCACCTGGGCGGTAACATCAAGATTGGTTGATAGGAATAATGTCTATTATTATTTAGACAGATTTCTTATTGCAAATGGAATTACAACATGTGCTTTTTTCTCCTTTTTATACTTCCTTTGACTCTCAATTGAATTAATTTCCTAATTATACAATAGGAGGGCTTGATCTCCAGTGAACTGATGGCAGTAGTTTTGCTCTTAGCATTGTAAATGTGAGGGGCCTTACATATCAGAGGCCTTGTGTCATTTGGTTTAGTTGATGCAAAGCTATTTTGATAACCTGCTTGTTTGCCTGTACCACCAATTCTGTCCCTGTAAGACAGGGACAATTTAAATTTGTGTCAATTCAGTTGCTGGACTTCTGTATTATCTAGCTCAGGTTTTAGCTTGTAATTGGCAGTGTATTCTGGAAATCAGTGGCTGTTTGCAAGTTATGTCTCCCTTCATAAGCTGGAAAATGTAATTCATTCCTGTTGCTACTTAAATTGTGGCTGTTGGATAGTGCACATTCAAACTGGAGCCATGCTGACAGAAGCTGTCTACTCACAATTCCTAAACGTAATCATTACTCTTACTTTTACAGTAACATAGTATAGATGTAATTATAGGTACCCGTATGTATGTGTGTGTTTGTATGCATATACTTACACGCCATATAAATATACGTGCCATTCATATGTATATTTGTTGTTGCCACGTAAAGCATATTAAATTGCTCATTATATGAATGAATTTCTTGTTTGTCCTTGACATAGAAATACTGCTTAGATAAATGACTTGGTATTTTTTCCTATGTGCTGCACACTTGCAATTGAAGAAGTTGCACTCAAGCATTAGACCTCTCTTGTTCCTGCGGTCGTATCGTCCAGTTTTATTGTTCTCTCAGTGGTCCTGTCACTCACCACAGTAGTTTAATATGGCAGGAACCAAATGGAAGAACAAGTGTTGTGTATTTTTTAAAGATTAGTTTTATTGTAGTATATCTGCAGTGCTGTTAATACAATACTTTATTGCTTAAATATTGAAAGACACCAAACGTGTACAAAACACGTTTTGCTGATCATTAAAAACCTGCAAAAATGTCTGATTTTAAGCAAGAAAAAACTACTTCAAAAAGATCTTAAACAACTGTTAAAACTGAATTTATCAACGTGATCTTACATTTTGATAGTGAATTGTTAGAACTTAACATTCTCTAGGATGAATGGGTGTTGGTAAGTGTGATTGCAACACTAGAATTTTCTTTGCTCAAAGATGGTGTGTTCTACCTGTAGTAGGAACACATAAAGGAATTAAAAATACAACTGAGCAGCAAGATTGAAAACTTTATATCTTGTTAGTTCATTTTTCTTGCGAAAATGCATGTTTAGGAAGCCAAAATCATGTTTTAATTTATGCAGAAAAAGCAATAATCTCTTTTCTGAGAGGTTATATTTTATTGGGAGGCTTGTTCTAAGAACTTAAATAACAAAGGACATTTGGGTGAAATATTTGTGTATCGTGTCTATACTGTTACCCAGTATGATGTGCATTGAATAATGTATACAATTGTATATCTTGTGTAGAATGTTTTGAGCCACATCTTTGCTTGGTTACTAGGATTTTGATGCTGCAGATCAAACGTAACTGAAATTGTAATATACGTAATGAGATGGAGCTGTATGTAGGTTAGACGTTGATGTCTCTGGTGTTTTGGCTGACTTTAAACTTGTTCACTTGGCCTTTAGGCTGAATTATTATTCTCTGTCTCTCTTTCTCACCCCAGATTAATTTCTTGGCTGTGAAGACACGTGAACACCTTGTGCCCTGATGGGGGACTCAGGATCCAGGCGATCGACTCTAGTGTCTCGGTTGCCAATATTCAGAAGAAGTATTAGCCGGAGACATGACTCCCTCCCTTCTTCGCCTTCCTCTGCCAGCGCTGTGGGTGTGCACACCTCCTCCCCATCCAGCACTAACTCCAGCTCAGGGAGCACAGGCAAGCGCCGGAGCATATTCCGAACTCCTTCCATTAGCTTCCATAACAAGAAGGGGGGGGAGCAAAAGCCTGATGCCGCCAGCCAGAATGTTAACATCTCAAATGGTGCCCAGCCCTCTCTCAGCACTTTTCAAAAACTGTGCCTGGAGGAACACATTAAAAGCAGAGGAAGGCATTCGGTTAGCTTTGGCAGCTCGCGTAGCAAGAAGATAACAAGGTCTCTGACAGATGATTTTGAAAAAGGAAAGGAGCCTTCAGCTAATAAGAATGTCTTTATAAATTGCATAAGCTCTGGCAAAAATGAGGGTGACGATTCTGGCTTTGCGGAGGAACAGAGCCGCTACTCTGTCAAACAGTCCACACGAAAACTTCTGCCCAAATCTTTCTCATCACACTACAAGTTTTCCAAACCGGTTCCACAGAGTCAATCAGTTTCCTCTGTGCAGCAGACTGGGTGCATGCTGGAGATAAAATCCTATGTTGAAAGTGAGCCAGTGATTGCCGCGTCGTCTTCTCCATGCTCAGCTGAGGTGACAGAGTGCATAGGGAGTGCTTTGCAGTCTCCACTGCTCTCGGCTGACCTCACAGCTGTCCAGACCCCCTCCGATTTCATAACCTTGACGGAGGATTCTGTTTCAGAGGTTGATGCTGTGCCAAGCAGTGGGAATGGAGCGTTGCTAGCAGAGGATTTTGGCCACAGTGTCTCTACCTCTCAGATAATCTTTAATCCTGCTGCTGTTCCAGTGAAAGAAATGGATTATGTGGGAAGTACTTGCCAGTCTGCTGCTGTATCTCCCACTAGTCATGCAAGCTTGTGTAGTGTTGAATCTAATATTTTGTTCAAAACTTCAGCTGCTAATCAAACAAAAGTATCATTGCAAGCCAATGAATTACATGTTACAGATGCCAGGCACAAAGGAGAAATGAACTCAGCAAAGGTGAATTTAGAAACCTTTGCGTTACAGCATAAAGAAGAACTGGGGATGCACTCTCCAGCAGCAAAGGAGTTGAGTGGGGACCAAGAGGAAAGCCCGTTCTCCAAGCACATGAGAGAAACAATTCCTGTAACGGAGCCTAAGATTATTCAATGTTCTGAACCTCAGTCCTTTAAAACACATCAGGGATATGAAGCAAACTATCCTAATGGTATGTACTGTTATTTAATTGTGAGTTTTGATGGTTTTGGAGTTGGCTTGCTTTCTTTTTCCCCTTAGTTACGATTTAGAGATTGTTTGGTCATTAAGTATTTGTTTAGCACTGTCAGTGCCATCTAGAAAGATGAATAGTTATGAATTGTGCTTTCCTTCAAAATCAAGCTTAAATCAAAATAACAAAAGGTATAAAACAAAAGCCTTTGTTTTTTTGGGATTCATGTTTTACCATGCAGTAGTAATGACATCTATCAATGATGTTGGTATCTGTTTGTTTTCCTTTGATAGAAGATGCATTAAGAAAGAATATTGATTCTTGCCTTGTGTTGAATGGGAATTCTGGGATTTTTGAGGCATCCATAATTTGAACTTTAGTCAAAGACTTGTGTTGTTTGCCAACGAAAAATTGCAAAAAAAAAAAAAAAACCAAAAAAACAAACCCACTTTTAGCTGATTATGAACGATAATTTACTTCGTATTTTGCAATACTCTAGGTTTCAAAAGTTCCTGATATTTACATGCTTTTACTGAGATGATGCTGTAAAGTAATTTGAAGGAAATGTTACCGTGGCAAAATACAATAATATATTGCGGTTTCTATCTGAAATAGCACTGCGCAGATTCCCATTTCACAGATTGTGTAATGGAGAATGTTAACTATCAGCTGGGTCTTCAGCTTTCAAAAAAGAGTTTGAAAATACTAACAAGATGGAGTGAATAAGCTATTCCTCGATCTCAGTCTATAGAAAATAGTAAATAAAGTCTCAAAGAAAATCATTCACTGCTCTGATTAAAAGAACTATGTTTAATATCAACCTGGGATGTAGTATCTGATAACTTGTAGAATTTATCATTTTTGCTTTGTTTTCCATGTGCTTCAGCCTAGATCATGCCACTTAAATACAGGCATTTGTTGACTGTGACTTGTGCCAGATTTGTACGATTATCTGCAAGTCTGGTCAGGAAAGGCTGAATATCATAGAAGCTGGAAACTAAGTTATAAGCAAGCACAAAATTTCACTTATGGGACGAATCTTCTGAATAATACTCCCTGTAATTCAGGAGGAAACAATGATTTGCTCTTCCCTAGACTATTACGTGTGTATGGGACTGGGTGGGATCTAGCTGAGGGTACTGAGGAAACTGGCAGAAGTGCTCACCAAGGTACTCTTCATCATGTATTGGAAGTCCTGGTCAGCTGGAAAGGTCCCAGATGACTGAAGACTTGCCATTGCAATACCCATCTACAAGAAGGGTTGGAAGGAAGATTCTGGGGAAGCCTGATCTCAGTATTGGAGAAGGTTATAGAACACACCATCTGAAGTGTGATCACACAGCTTTTGTGAGACAACCAGGGGGATCAGGTCTAGCTAGCTTGGCACGTCCTGCTTGACCAACTTGAGCTCCCTCTACAGTGCTGCAATGACGAAATGACCTGCATTGTGGATGGGGGAAAGGTGGTTGACATAGTCTACTTAGACTTCAGCACAGCCTATGACACTGTCCCACAGCATTTTCCTGAAGAAGCCTGGACATTTAGTTAGTCATGTAGATTTTATGCAATCAGAAGTAATCTTAATTCTTCAGTTGTTTTTCACTGTACTGGAATGTTGGGCATGTTGTTCATAAACGGATACATAACGTCAAATTAATCCACTAAATTAGCTTTCACAAGAGGAGACCTGCTTATCTTGAACCTTATTCAGGTGGAACAACAAAAAAAAGATGTTTCAATTTAAGCGTTACCTGTTCTGAGCACTTTGGCTTGTCTTCTTTGGCTCACTTGTGAAATGGGCTTACACTTCTTAATCTGATTTAGTAGAGTGGAGTAGTTACAATGAAAAACAAGGAGAGTCTCAAAGTGATCAGTTTCAAATGGAGAGTGTATTTCTAATCATGCATCAGCAATTGTATATTTAATGTGTATGCCTGCAAGACAGCTAACTGGTGTTGGAAATGTAATGGACTTTTTTAAACGAACTTAATATTAAGTGAAACACTCCAGCTAATACTGCACTATTTAGAAGTTGATGATTAATTTTCATAGTTGTTTAATTCTATTCCAAATGCACTTTCTTTTCCCCCAATTTGTGTAGTGAAGAATGTATTTAAAATTAGAAAGTGATCTAACATGTTTAAGGACCCCTGAAAAAGTGCAGAAAATCCTGCTATGTGAAAAAAAATGAGCGTAGCAAAAGTGTGTAGTGTTCGGAAAGATGTAAATAAAAGTATTGTTATTGTTGCCAACAGACAGTTTTGAACACTGAATAGTATTTAAAACTGGGTGCCAGTGTAAAGTATTTCTGTACACTTCATGTAACAATAAGTACTTTCTCCTCCTTAGTTGGTCCAAGGTCAGATTTCAGTGGTTGACAGCATCATGAATGTGGCTCAAATGTCTGACCAGATTGGACATGTAATGCATTTCTTAATATATGCCTATATAGTTTTATGCAATTATTTCTTTTTGTAAAGCTGTTAAGGAAATGTCTGCTCTCTTGCAAAAGGCAAAAGAAATTAAGATTTTCACGTGTGTTACACTTACTATCTGTCACGGTTTCAAGTGTGACAGGGCAAGGGGACCCCTTACTCTCCTTCTGGGGGGAAGGGAAGAAAAATGACCCAATTAAGATAAGAAGGGATAACAAATTTACTACAAATGGTGGAAGAAAGTAAGGTGATAATAAAAAGAGTTACAATTAATAACTCAAATGAGTGAGAAGAAGAAGGCTATTACCGTGCTGTTGCTTGCTGGGCTGCTGGAACCTGGAAAAAACTTGACCCCGATCACCAGGAATCATAGATCATGTGGAAGGCCTTGGGAAATGTAGTACATCTCAGTGTATCTTCCTCATGGAGAATTAGAACTCGTGTGAGACTGCTATAGAGAACATGATACTAGGAAGTACAGCTCCACAGTGCACTATGTATCTATAACCAATAGCCTGTTGTATGATGTCATGCTATGGAATATCAATATCACCAGGGCATTATGCTACTTTATTCTCCATTTTTCCCCATCCCTGAAGTTGTCCCAGCACTTGAAAATGTAATTTTCTCCTCTTTTCTGATGTTATTTTACTTAATGGGAGTCGAGGTCCGGGATTCAGCCTGCAAGATGAGTTTGGAGAGCATGGATGAATAACATGAATTGCTATATGCTTCTAATAAAGCTGTGACCTGGCCCTGTAGAAGTAAGGGACACGATAAGACAGGTTATGTTTTTTGCACCAGGGAATCAGTGGTAGTTTTTCTGATAGATGTTACCGGGCAATAGTTTGGAAGCCTCCAAGAACGAAGAGAGAAAGGAAGGAAAGGCTACGCTTTTATTTAGATATGTAGTTTTCTACAGGATACCTTATGGGAATTATCACTGTTAAAATCTTATGTGATTCCTTGCTAAGCATTTAACGTCAAGTATTTTCAGTAAGAAAATATTTGTAGAGAACAATTCTCTGTAACGATTGCTGATTGCATGTCTATTTGTAGTTGGTCTTGCCAATAGCTTCAGTCCATACCGAGAAGGCAGATTTATTGAGAAGAGACTCAGATCCTCCTCGGAAGGCACTGCTGGAAGCAGTCGACTCATCATAAAACCAAAGGATGGCAATGCAGAAGAGCTTAATAGCCTACGGAAGCAGAGAGCAAGCTCGTCCTCTTCAAAAATGAACAGCATGGTGAGTTGATTGTTGTGTGTGTGTTTTTATTTCATTTATTAGCGCAGCTATATTAAGCAGCAAATTTGCAAGATGGTAAAAAGTAACTTAAATGCAGAGTTGAGCTTCCAAAATGTGGTTCAGGCTGAGCAACAGAGATGAAAATTATTACTATTTTTTTTCAGGCTGTTACATTGTGGAAAATATTGTACATTTGCAGAGAAAAGCTTGTTATAGTTGTGCATTGTAGATTGCCTGGGATAAAAATACTGGGAGAGTCAACTAAAGCAATATTCAGTATGAATATTGCTGAAATGCAACAATGCAGTGGGCAACATTTTGAGTTTTACTGTTGTAGTTATTTCACTGAATCATGCACAATGAGAATGAGAAGAAATTGAGAAGTTTTGTAGAGAGGAATTTGTTAGTAAGGAAGCTCATTATGGAAAGGTCTGGATAGTCACTTTGAAAACAGGTGAGAAAGTTCAGTGCTTTCACCCTAAGAGCAAAGTGAGGAGGGAGAGGAAATCTTCCCTTCTGAGAACCCTTGTAAATCCCTCGGAATGGGAAATCTATGACAGGTCGGATTGATGTGGATCAGTGCTTCTGAAACTTTGTAGGGTGAAATAGTAATAGAAGGAAAGGACTGACATTATGTGCTGTGCTATAGGGAGTGAAGATAAACATTTTAGGATGAGTGTAATTTATATGTGTGCATATACTTTCAGGTGAGAGGGAAGAAAAAAGATACTAATATCAAACATACATGGGAATGGCATCCATTCTTCAGCTTATATAAATCACTAAAATAAGTTCTACAGCAGTTCTGAGTTTGGAGTACTTTATTTGATATTCTAATTGAAAAAAAGAAAGATTTATTGATACTTATATTTGAAGACAATTATCTATAGGAAAAAAAAAACCCTCAAAGTTTGTTACTCTTGTCTGCTGTTGCTAAATAGATCTATAAAGAAAGAGCTTTTTTTCCATCTTTGGGTTTACTTAACAGTACTTAACAGCCTTTCTGTTGCTACAGTTTAGGACCAAGCACCGTTCTAAGAGGCCCTGATGCAAACACAATTGCCTTTTCTAAGAGAGGTTTTATTTGCAGTTTTTCAAAAATGTGAAACTAATTTGTGCAAGCTCATGCTAGATTTTCAAAGCATGTTATTCCAGAACAGCATGATTTTTTTGCTTTTGCAGACAGACACAAAAGCTCAACAACTGATACTGGTATTTAGGTAATGTTTATAACTGTGTTACCTTGTCTGCCACTGAGGGTAGCATGTTTTTTCTCTCACGGAAGCCTAAATTTTATCCCTGTTGGATTCAGCCATACTGATTCCTGGTCAGTGATTTAAAAGTAGGTCCCGAAACAATTAAATAATGTAGTATGAATTCCCCTTAAGGAAGCTGTTGAACTGGGGGTTTTCTTAAAAGATTGTGAAATTTGTCTTTTGGTTGTGGTAAATCTCACCCACATCTAAATGTGCTATCTAAACATCAATTCGTAGACTTACTATTTCTGTTCTCTATAGCAAGAGAAAATGACATCATTACAGACAACATTTTTACTACGTACAGCCAATGCACGGCAATTTTGTATGTTGTACAGGTTTTTATGCCTATGTACCACTGTCTTGAAACACTCATTTGAAACAGAATTACTTGATGTCTTTTACATGAACACTTGACTCACTTGGTATGACCTGTGGAGTGTGGATTACCTACTAGAATGACAGGATTATTCCTTCCTCAACACCATCATATTGTGCAGATAAAACAGTATTGACTTATTAATTTTATACATCTGCTATTCTCTCTCCTTTCTATTTTCTTGCTAGCTTGTGATATGGTAAAAAATAAAATGAAATTTATGTCAACGACAACAAAAACACCACCTCTTTTATTAATAAATTCACTCAGCAATTATACTCAAAGAAGCAAGATGGAAATAATGACTAAATTGTAGATGAAGCCTTTGTGCTATTAAAATTTGTAATTACAGCATATTTATTTAGCAAGTTCACATCCAAATATCAGTGAGTCTTATATTTCAGAACCAAAACACTTTGACATTAAAAGCTGCTGTTTTCATATAGGCATAGAGAACTTTATGCAGATGTAACTTCTGCCCTAAAGAGCTCACTCACTCTGTCTTAAGACTGTAAACCCTACTTAACTCATTGGACCTGGGCTATTAGGCTCATCTTTGCATTTATTTAAACAGTAGACTAGGCTGATGTGTTAATACTTCTTTGTGTTTGTGATGCAACAGGGAAGGTGACAATACTTGAACAACGGGAAAAAAACTGTGCATGGACATGTGATTTGGGTTCTTTTTTTTTAATGTATTGTGCATGAAAATCCACTTCTGTGTTTGTTTCTTTTAATTTACATTAATGAGGTTGTCTTCGGATTCAGTAGTACTTGCTTGTAGCATAGTCACAGTCCCAGAAGTTCTGTGTTACAACTGCTGCGCACCTCCATGAGTAAAAGTTCTTTCAGATTTTCCACCAGTACGCACAGGTACCATCTGTACCATCTTCATATGTTCAGAGAAATGCTAGATTAAATCTTCAATATATATATTTTAAAGTTTTAAGAAAAAAACAGGAGGCAAAAGGAAAAGCTGACTCTCCTAAAAGGAAAAGGAATTAGAAATTGAAGGAATTATGTTCATAATAATATGTAACTAAAGGCCTTTTCACTGTACTACTCACAAGCAGTTCATGTTTAACACCTCAGTAGCAAATTGTTGCCAGTGAGTCATTACAGGTCTTTCGTCACAAACTGAAGAAAGTCTTCCAGAAGTTGATTTGTTTTTGTTCTTGTTGGCATACTGTGTGGGATTCTTCTGCTGCCTGCCTAGAGGGGAACGGGAAATGGATTAACTGGGGGGATTCTAGGTTTGTACAGGGGAGGAAAAAAAACAAACCCAAACGCTCAGAGATTCGAGAGTTTGGGAAACTGTTCTTCCTCCTAAATAATTCACTCAACGTAATATGCTTGCGTGATAGTGGTGTTCTTTTCCAAGACAACAGATAAAGGCTTAGATAGATAAATCTCCTACAGTATATGTCAAATCTACCAAGAGGGTTAGCAGGTCCTCTAGCAGCGGCATTGATTCATTTGTGAGGCTCTGAAAGTTAATTAATAATCTGGATGTGTAATGGAAAAAAAACCTCCTCTCTGCAAATGTGCTGACTTGCTAGCTGTGTAAATAATGAACTGAAACAGATGTGTGAAATTAACTGCTCAGATTACTAATTATGTCTGTTTTCATCAGAATAGGCATTGTATTGAGTCATTCTTGCAGTGACTGAGTTATCCCACAAGATGTCAATATTTCACCAAAAACTGAGAATCAAGCATTACTAAGTTGCACAAAAGATGAAAACTGAAATTCAGGGTGTATTTTTTTGGAAAGCTTTGTCGACTAGCCCATGTTGTGTAATCAAATCCTTTCAAATGCACATGGTTGATACAGATGCCATTTAAAGAGATTGATATTTTGATAGTAACTGTGGGCATTAAAACGTTCAGACCATTACACTATCAGTTACCACTTTAAATATATAGACATAACATGGAGACAAATTAACCACATATTGGACTGATAGAGGCTGTGGCTGTCTTCCTTATTCCCATAACTCCTCTTCTTTCCAATGAATATGGATTTCATTGTTGTTTGGGGCGGGGGAACAACAAAACACAACTGCTAGTCAGCATGGTAAAATACCTTAATGACCTAAAATATGCAGCCCTGCAAGACTAATAAAAAGAACAAAAATTTGAGTAGTTCATATATATAAGAGAGTACCATAATAATCACATTTAAAATAATATGATCACGTTCCCACATCATTTAAAGTAATTTCTTTTAAGATTATCACGGGAAAAAGAGTTGATGTGTTAGAATACTTAAAATTAACTGTAGAAGTTGAGGTCAACCAGAGCAACAGAATGATCCATCACTTTTCATAGAAGTGTGATGAAAAGATTAATATCACAGGTCTAACTTTCATCGGTAATAAAGAATAGATTTTTTAAAAGAATATAGATTGCTCTTAAAACAAACAAACAACAACAACAAAAAAAAACAACCAAAAAGTGAAGAATGTGAAAAGCCAGTTTTAAATATGGTCAGTCATTAGAACCAAACTGTTTTATAGGAAGTTGTCAATGAAAATTGCTGTATGTTACTATAGGCTTAAAAAAACGGCAACAACAATAAAACAACAAAGTTCAGAGGTCTGTTGGAGTTCTTAGACCATTGTGCTCAACACTTGAGTTGCTCTATGCTTTAAGCACATGACATGCATGTTTTTGTTCTGTGTAGACAAATGACTATGTATGTAGTAGTCCACTTAAATTTGGCTCTGACATACCTGCCTTTATGTCTTTGTGGCTCTGTATTACAAATAATATATTTGACTGTGGACTGCTTCTTTGCACACACCTGACTGTTAGCATATGCACTACATAACTAAAATAGACCCAATTTTTCTGCTTTTTACTTCCTTGGTGAGTGAACATTATTGCTGACCTTTGTGTTCTGTAGGCTCTCACTTCTCTGTGTGGGCATTCACTTGAGCCCAAATTTTTCTTCAGTTTCGCATATTATAATTTTGTCTAAATGTTGTTAGTTGGCCATTTCTTAAATTGAGATACAAATTTTCGTACTTGCAGGTAAAATTTTGTATGCTTGCACTCTGCTTTGCCTTCTCTTCTTTTGCCTGCAGCAAAGCAGTCTTACCTATTTGTGTCAATTCAATTAGATCTGCACTTTTTTTCCTTAATGTGGCTCTGACTTTATCCTTCCTTGCTTTGCTTCTTCACCATGATTCTAATGTATTAGATAAAATTTCTTGTTTCCAGTGAAAGGATTTCTATGGCCTAAGGTCATTTCAGCTTTTTTCCATCACCTTCAACAATGATGCATGTCTTCATTGCCCATTTGTTAAACAGTCAAGCAGTTGTATTCACGCTTTCTCCCACACTGCCTACCACTGTCTGGA